TGTAGTAATGCCTCTCTTGGTAGTATAGTCAGCTCCATGCTGTTCTCCTGTTATAAGTGTTCTTGCCATTGCTAAAGCTTCTATCTTCAATTAAATCTCATGTTCCTATTGTTGATAAAAAAATATGAAATTTATTTCTCTTTGATGATGTCTCCACCATTGAATATTGCTTTAGATGCTTGCAATTTGAAATTGGTCCATGCTTGCATTGTTTTGATTTACTAAATCAATTGAATGATTATGCAATTGAAAATCACTAGTTTGAATTAAGCCTGTGCTTTTATTGGTCTAATAAATTTGTTGCAATGCTTTTACTTGTTAAAACAAATACAAAATGAATTAATACACGACATTGGAGTGTTTAGTTTCTGAAAAGCATTGGTTATATGTAGTATAATCTGTGCGTCCATATAATATTTGGACATTGTCAACTGATAATAAATTTCTATTCTGCTTCTTTCTTCAAATGTTTAGCACTTCTGGGTCGCAATCTCCATGGTTTTCTTTGTTGCTGCTACAACCTTCACCCTCCTGAAGCTATCTGGTAATTTATCCATATTCCTTGAAATTTTGCACTGCTTTCTCTTTGGTGAAAATTCTTTTCTTCTCTTTTATTTATTTATTCATTTATTTTATCAGACCTTTGGCATGCTTTCAACCTGGATTTGTGCTTCTAAACTTCTAATTTGTTTTCCACAGGCAGTCTTTCAGTAGTAAGGTGAATGCAATGATTTAGCATATTGATCTAAAAAGATAATCTGGTCATTTCTCTTTGGTGTCAGGGTTATACTTGTAATTTACTATTTATTAGAAAAGGTATAAATAAGTATTAGGGTGGGCTTAGACCACCGACTTTTTCTCTCACTTGATCTCTCTTTTCCTCTCTTTTTGTTAAAGGAAGAAAAATATTACAAGCTAGTAACTTACTATAGAGCAATATGAATCTCTTCATATGTTCATGCTGATACAGAAGCAATAGACAGTACCCACTGACATCGGCACACTGGAAATGGTGTAAGGGAAGACCAGTGAACTAGCCTCTCGCCAATGTGCAGTTTGGGGAGGGGCAGATGTACGCAGCCTTATCCTAGAATCTGATAGGTCTTGGTTTAGTCTTATAGAGGAATTTTTATTGTAGATTCAGGAGTTGGTTTTAGATTTTTTCTATACTGTTTACAGTGAAAATTTGAAAAAAAAACACAGATTTGGATATTTTGATTGTGTAAATTCATGGTAGTTTATTCATAGATGGAACTTTAAGATTCCATGTCATTGGATATCCTAGAGATAAACCAAAAGTGGTTTGATATTTTTTTTTGGGTGCATATTTAACTTTTTTTTTTGATCAATAACAGAATCAATTTATTAATGGACAATAATATTACAACAATCCGGGAAGAGGTAAGGAGGCTTAACTCTCCCGAAAAAGAGAAAAGAAAAGAAAATTACAATACAGCCCAAAACATCTGTTCCCTTCCCACCCCTTGTTTCGCCAACGTATCTGCAAAAGTATTTGCAGTCCTCTTCACCTATTGAAACTGAACCTCCAACCCTCTAGTTAGCCATTTAGCCTCCCTTCTCTCATTTGCATATTTCCACAGTTCGTTTTCCTTAACCAGCTTAGAGTCTCCTTCCACAATTAGTCTATGAATATTCAGCTCCTTGGTCTCAGCTCTTAGAGAGTCACCATTCCCAATGGAGCCTGAAAACAAAGCAATTACCTTACCATTATCATCTCTGAACACCTCACCAACACCCGAGGGCCCGGGATTACCTTCACTACTGCCATCAAAATTTAATTTTACACAACCTGGGCCTGGTGGAGACCATAAGGGAGAGGCAACTGATGAATAAGGAGCTGAATTTGCCACTTCCAGCCAGCTATTCAGTAGCATAACTGTAGAGACATCAGCAAACATATCTAGAGACTTCAGCCAATGCACCACCCTAACCATTATTACCTCAATGATACCTTCTTTGTTCCTTTCCTTATCAGAAAAGGTCCTGGAGTTCCTTTCTTCCCATATAGTCCAGCAAATGGCAGCCCTCACACACCTCCACATAACCCTACCCCTTTTCTTAGGCCATCTAAGGAAAGAAGTGGCAAACAGGCTTCATATATCTGGAGGGGTCCACCTGCAACCAAATAAAGAACTAAACCATTCCCATATATCAGAAACAAAAGGACATGAAATTAGTAAGTGGTAGGAGCTTTCACCATTCGCCTTGCAGAGGGTGCACCAATTTGGTCTTTTCTTTTGGAGTAAATCACATGTGTGACATCTATCTAGGAATGCTTCCCAATATAAAGCTCCAATCCTTGGAGGGATCGGCTCACCCCAAATTTCCTTGACTGGGAAAGACTGAATTGATTGTTGGTTTGTTGTACTAAGGACTTAGCACAAGAGAAAGCCCCCGAGGGGGACAAAGTCCAAATTCTATTGTCCCTTTTTGATGGGTCCAAAACCACCCCATTCAAAATCTGAATTAAGTTCACAACATTGCCCAATTCTGACCCCCTATAAGGCCTCTCCTAAGCCTCAAATCCCAATCATAACCAAAATTTGACTCGGAAGGGACCAAAAAATCAAACACACATTTCCCTTTGAAATGGGAGAGGGAGAATAAAGAGGGAAATTGGTCTTTCAAAGGTATATCCCCCACCTACAACTGCTCCCAAAATTTAACCTGATTGCCAAAGCAATGATCATACCTGATGCATTACAGAAAAGAAGGAAGAATGGCATGTATGGATTTCCGAGTGGCCATGTTAGTCCTTGCCACAATTCCAACGTCCTAGCCATTATCTGCCTGTCCATGTCTCCATGAATACTCAAGATTACCTTGGTCCACAGCTTATCCCTATCCCCACCAAACCTCCACAGCCATTTGCCTAACGAGGCTTCATTTTTCTTTTGGATATTGCCTAATCCCAATCCACCCTCATCTCTACACTTGGAGATTAACTCCCAACCCACTCTATGATCTTTTCTTTCCTCCCTTGGCTCTCATAGGAAATCTCTCATCAACTTTTCCAGCACTCTACTTATTTTTTCTGGGATTCTAAACACAGATGCATAATACACCGGCAAGCTAGCCAATGTAGACTTAATCCGAGTGATTCGGCCACCCAGAGATAAATACTTCTTCTTTCAAGAGGCTAACCTTTTCATGAACCTATCAATTATTGGGTTCCAAAAATTGTTATTCTTTGGATTATCCCCTAAAGGCATCCCCAAGTGTATCATAGGCCATTGTGACACCTCACAACCCAAAATCTCAGCCCTATCTCTCATCTCTCCTTCCATGTTCACCCCTACCACACAACTCTTACCAAAATTAACCTTTAGATTTGACATTCTTTCAAATTACTGCACTACCAACTTCAAATTTCTAACCACCTCACATCCTCCCCTTCATAGAATAAGATTGTGTCACCAACAAACTATAGATGTGTAATAGGTAACTTGTCTCTACCAACCCTCCATCCTCTCACTAGGTTCCTCGAATCTGCCCTCTCTATTAATTTCCCCAACACCTCTGCTATCAAAGTAAAGAGGAATGAGGAAAGGGGGTCCCCTTGTCTAATTCCCCTGGTGGTAGGGAAATGATCCACTATAGACCCATTCACTAGGATTGAGTAATGATAAGTCTCAATACATCCCAAGGTCCATTTGCACCATTTTCCTCCAAAGCCAAAGCAGTCCATCACTTGCATTAGGAGAGACCAATCAACCATGTCATAAACTTTCTCTAGATCCAACTTACACACAATCCCCTTCTTCTTTCTTCTCCTTAGATCCTCCACACACTCGTTAGCAACTAAAATTTGGTCCACAATCTGTCTATCTTCCCACAAATGCCCCTTAATTCTGTGAACTTAGACCTCAAAGTATTTCTTTGATTCTTCTAGACAAGACCTTAGCAATGATTTTGTACAAATTGTTTGCCAAACTGATAGGTCTATAGTCTCTTGAGTGACTTGCTCCAAATTTCTTTGGAACTAATGCAATAAAAGTTGAATTAATCCCTGGATTTATCACCCCTTGATGAAATTCATTGAAAACTTTGAGGATGTCTTGCTTCAAAATCTCCTAACAATCTTGGTAAAAGGCCATAGTGAAACTATCTAGACCTGGTGCCTTAGATCTGTCCATTGAGAATATTGCCTTCCTTATTTCCTCCACCTCATATTTTCTTTCAAGCCACTCCTTTGTCTCCTGAGAAAGTTTTGGCCAATCTAGACCTTCCAACCAAATCCTCAGGTTTAGGGGCCTTCTATATATAGACTTAAAATGCTCTACAAAGGCCTGACAATCTCATCCTGCTGAGTAAGAAGCACCCCATCAATTTCCAATTTAGAGATCAAGTTTTTCCTTTTTCTCCCGTTGGCCATTGCATGAAAGAATTTGGTATTTTTATCTCCCTCCTTCACCCATTTATGCCTTGATTTTTGCCTCCACCTAACTTCTTCTTTAAACAAAATGTCCTCTAATTGCTTCCTCAACTCCCATCTCTCTTCTTTATCCCTATCACCAAACGTACCTTCTTTTTTCCTTTGCATCCAACTCCTCAATTTGATTCATCACAACCTGCTTCCTCTCCTCAATCCTACCAAAGTGGAGGGTATTCCATTCCTTAATCTTTGCTTTCAGCTCCTTCAATTTCCAATGAAATTTCATACCCTCCCAATTGGCCCTAGGCACTCCAATTCCACCAATCCTTAACTAACTCCTTAAAACCCAGGTGGAACAACCACATATTCTCAAATATGAAAGGTGATGGCCCTTTATTGCCAATATTCTCCCTCAATAAAACAACAGGCCAATGATCTGAGGTAACCCTAGGCAGGGTTCTAAATGTAACCACCCCCAGTGCTCCTCCCAGTCTGCTATAAGAATCTATCCGGTTTCAAACAAATAGGATTTGCTTGTGGGTTGGACCAAGTGAATGTGCCATGCATCAGTAGAACCTCCTTTAGTTCAAAATAGTTAATGAAACTGTTACACTTCCTCATACTTGTGTTTCCCCCCACCCCTACGACTATTTGTTTCCTCTAAAAATCTTATGACATTAAGTCCCCACCTAAGCACCATGGTCCATCCCACAATCCTCTGATGTCTTCCAATTCCTCCCACAACTCCTTTCTCTATATCTAGTTGGGCCATATGTATTAGTCAACACCCACTCAAACCCATCTGCCCTTTGTTTAAACTTGATGGACACATTAAATCTCCCAATCAGCTCTTCCATCCCTTCTACAATTTCATCTTTCCACATTGTCACTACTCCCCCTGAACTTCCCCAAGCAGGGCTCATTGCCAATTTATTCCCCTTGCCTTCCACAGTGATCTTGCCCATCCACCATTAAATTCCATCAATTTTGACTCCTGGATCAGCACTATATCCGGGTTCTCTCTGCTTATCACTTCCTTTATTAATGGCCTTTTCCTTCTACCCCCAACCCCCGAACATTACAGCTTAAAATCTTCTTTTTCACTTCTTTTTTCCCCCTTTCTCTACCCCTTTAACTACTCCCCCTCCTCCCCTTTCTCTCACTAAATTCCTTATCTTCTTCAACATCTCTTCTTAGTCTCTCAGCCTCACTCAATTTCCTCTTTTTAATCTTACCAACCTCCTTTCCTTTCCTTTGGAACACCTTCAAGTCCTCTGACTTCTTCACTTTACAGCCAATTAATTGCTCTACTAAGTCTACATCCGCCACATTCTGTTCACTTCTTTTGGCACCCACCTTCCCTATTAACTCCTCGATTTCTGTTCCCCTACTTTATCCTCACTCCTACTTCGTTGTGAACTTCCACCCCTAAACTCCTACCACTGTTATTTCTCTTAATTTCTTCTCTTTTCAGTTCCTCCAAGAAACTTTCTATTAGCTTCCAAATCCTTTCCCTCACTTCCTCCTCTCCCTCTACACATCTCCTTCTTTCCATACTATCCACCCCAAGGTTTTCTTGATCTTGTGGGAACACGGCTAGCTGGGAATCTGGAACACAGGCATCAGACAGAAGAATAGGATTAGTACTAAACTTAAAATTCACTGCCATACCTTGGCTTGACTCTGAGACAGGATCTGCAGAGGAGCAAGGAGAACCTATCGCATTTACTATCCTTGGAAGCTGAGGATTGCAAATCTCCTTAATTGAGACTAATAGTTGGGATACATTTTCTGTCAGAGGCTTATCTTTTGATAAACTCCTTAGACTCTGTAGCTCATCTTCGTTTTGGTCTTCTCTGATTGGCTCACAAGAAACGCCTCCTACCTGCTCGCCAAAGGCCTGCCCATTGTTCAATAATGTTAATGTTCATCCTTACTTGATTCCAGCTTATCTCCCCCGTCGCCCTAATTATACTCCACACTATTTATTCCCTTCACCTCCTCAGATGGATGTGTACAAGGCGTTCCTCCTGTGAGTTTCTCAGCATCGAAAAGGAGAGTAGTGTCAAATATGTCTTCCTCGCTGGCTACAACTACAGATGTCGTCCAAACTGCCCGCAATAGAATCATTTGTCAAGTCTCCTTCCTCCCCATCTGACGAGTCACAGTCGATCCACCCATCATCTTCCACATCCAAGTCTTCCAGTTGCTCCCTAGAGTATCTCGGATTGGGGCGATCTGTATTCTTCTTCTCCAACACCTGTTCATTGTAGGGGGGCCGGCATCCATTGCCAATTTTTTTTTTTTTTTTTGATTTCTTCGAGTCTTGAACTGAAACAGTTCTCTTTGGGGACGATGATAGACCCCAAACAATGTCTGCAGTCTTTGCCCCTAACTTACCCCCCACGTGACTATTAGTTAATTCACATGAGCCCTCCCCCTGGTTCGATCCTAAGGCTCGATGATCCTGGGCCCAGTTTAAACTCATGATATTATTTTTATTACTGACCTGCATCAACCCCAACTTTTTGACCATGTCAGCATAAGATGGTCTGACCGCTTGACTTTTAAGATCTTTTGAATTATTTTCTTTTTCAAGGTGGCCGCCCGAAACTTCACTAGGATTTGAATGTTCATCTTCCCAGAAAAGTTCTCCCTTTTCTTTTCCTTCTCTTCCCACTCAGTTACTGCCATGTGTGCTTCTTTCCTCCATGTCACCTTTGTCTTCCACCTTCGAACACCTCCTCCACAGAAACGCTTCCACTTCCGTCAGCACCCAAATCCTCCTCCACAATTCCTCTGAGAAGATGGTCACCAAACGAGGCACCTCCTCTGGCTTGATCCCACGACTCTTTGGTCGCCGTCATATTGCTGAAGCTGCAGTCCTCCATCAGGCCACCCAACACATGGACTTTTGTCTCTACTGTCGACTTATTCCAGAAGTTGAATGGCACCCCAACAAGCTTAATGTTGAAACATCCCACTGTTAACTCTCTCTCATTACAAGACGTCCCACTGTTAACTCTGTTCATCCATTTCAGCTTATCCAATTCCAATTTGTTTAATTTAACAGAGCAAGCAACTGTCGTATTTGGCCTTTGTTCCTCCACTGCCTTCTGAGTTGTTTGCTCTCCCTTGTTTCTACTTTTTGGCTTCAAACTCCAGCTCTCTTCTCCATGTTGCAGCTGGTTTGAACTCCATTTCCTCTTTTAGTTCAGTCTCTCTATTCAATGAGTAAAGGCTAGGAAAAACAAACTGAAGGGGGCTTTCAGCCAATCAGAGGTCCTCCAAAAACAATAATGGGTATCCAAATATTTTCTTTGTAACAATTTTCTCTATGACCACCTAGGTTAATAGGAATAACTTCACTTTTCTCAAAATTATAAGAGGATATTATTTTTATTTAACATTTTTTTGAAGAAGGTAATGTAAAAAATATAAGTGCTGCTCATGAACAACAAAAAGTAATCTGTAAAAAACTCTATAGGCAAAAAAGAACGCCTAGCTCTCCACAAAAAAAAAAAAAACTCTGTATGGAGAGCCAGTCCCTCAAAAAGTAAAATGAAGAGTCTACATAACCTTTCTTAGAGTCAAAAGCTCTAGCATTCCTCTCTAGCCATATAGCCGAGATGATGGCTGGAGGAATCAAAGTCCACACTCTCCTTCCTTTCTTGTTCATGCCTTGGATGTGCCACCTCAAAAGATCTGCTACTGAAGCTCAACTGCCCTGCAGTAATGGAACCGTTTTCTGCTAGAGAAATCACAATGCAAAAAAAGATGACTGGTGGATTCCTGCTGCTGTAAACAAAGAGGGCAAAGAGTGCTGTCTAGAGACAAACCACACCTAGCTAAACTTTCCTTCATGAAAAATTTGTCCAAAGTGACTACCTACATCATAAACTTGACCTTTAAAGGTGCCTCATTGCACCTGACTGCCCTAGAAGGGAAATAAACTGTCACTCTTACTAAGCCTCATTGCACCATTTCCAGATTTGAGAGTCCTGGTCTTTGGATTTAGATCTTTCGTCCTGAAAAGATAACAAATCAGCAACTTGACCCAATTCCCAGTCATTGAAGTCTGATAGACCCCAAACTATCTCTCCCCTAATAGTATTATAAGATTTAGCCACTGAGTTTGTTGCTGGTCACCAAAAACAAGGATGGAACCAAACTCTAAGAGGCACATCTGAACACCAGGGATCCTTCCAAAAACTCATCTAGCTTCCAACCCCTACCTTTTATTTAACGCCTTTTAGGAAATGAGGATTTTCCTTGCAAATGCCTTTCCACTTAAAAGCAATTACTTTGAGATCCTTATCCCTTAAAAGCAATGGCATGGTTGTTCCTAGATGTGATCATGCCCTTTTTGGTGATTTTCCCTTTTGGATGTTAAGGTCAAGAAAATTTTCGGAAGGAAACATTATGCTAAGTAGAATAAAGAGGGTGATGAGGAATCATGTACTCAAACAACTTAAAGCGACCTTAAAAAGGACTAAAATCAACCTTTACATCATTACCTCATCATCATCATCCATGCGTTACCCCAACTATATGGGGTTGGCTACATGAATCCTGTTTTACCAATCCATTCTATTCAATGCCATATCCACTGTTAAATTCTTAGTGATTAAATTATTTCTTACTAATTCTACCCATGTACCTTTTGGTTTACTTTGAGATTTTCTAGCCCCTTCACTGTGTAACGAATAACTTATTCTAACTGGTGCAGTAAGGATCTCCAGAAGCCTTATATTACAGACAGGGTGTAAAATTCAGTATAAATTTATGACAAATTGGTATCTGATTTGCATGTGATTCTGCAGGTACTGTTGGAGCTCTTGGTTGGTGGGATTTATTTATAAATTTTGGGTACCATTTATTTTCTTCTACTGTGAGACTTCCTTTGCAGTTGCCGTGGCACAATATCGTGTCAAATAACATTTTTTATGTTCTCTTTGCAGCATTGCAGAGTGCTTTGCATTTCTTGTTTGCACAAAATGGTCTAACCCAGTGATACATAGACATTCTTACAACACAGAAACCAGTTCATCTTCTACAGCTAATAGATATCTTGATTGGAATAATGACTTAGTGGTTTCTTCAGAAGAAGATCAGGATCAAGATAGATTGTGTGGCCTGCAAGACATTGGTGGCCATATAATGAAAATTCCACTAATCACTTTTCAGGTTCTGCTTTGTATGCACTTGGAGGTAAGAGAGCTTTAATTGGATGCCAATTTGTCACATGGAAGACTTTGGATACCAACACAACTCTTTTCAAATTGTAGGTCTCATCCTCTATAATTTCAAATTTCAGGGAACTCCAGCTGGTGCTAGATATATCCCACTTCCAGCTCTTTTCTCCCCTCTTTTCATACTGCAAGGTGCCGGTGTCTTGTTTTCCTTGTTTAGATTGGTAGAGAAGATTGTCCTTTTACTATGTAGTGGAGCTAGCTCAGGCAGATACACCACATTTTCTTCAAGAGCTCATGACTGTTTTGGGTTCTTGCATCATGGATCAAGGTATTGCCTTATCTCTAGATTCAAGCTATGAGCTAAATACCATGTACTGAAAATCCATATGGGCATTTAGCGTGATTCATAATCACTTTATGGCATTAAAATTGTTGCTAATAACAATTAATAGGTTGCTTGGTTGGTGGTCAATTGATGAAGGAAGTCGAGAAGAACAAGCTCGACTTTACCAAGCTGGGGCTTTTGGGTGAGTGTTATTATATCTTCACTTGTTGCTGGTTTATTTAATCACCCTTATTATAGATGTTGTTGTTTTTGTTGTTATGGAGATGTTCTTAGAGTGTATTTAGTTGGTATTTTCCTATGTGTATGGTCAAAATTCATGACTGCTCAACCCAACTTGTGTCATTAAAAATTAGAAAAAAAGTTATCCTAATTTTTTTTTGAAAAAGTAAAGTATTATATTGCATTGTATTGAAATAAAACTGTCATCATATACACTGTCTAAAATTTGCCAAGCTTCCACAAAGTCCCCTTGAGAGTTTGAGATGATTTGACCCATCACTTTCTTCATTCTTGAAGCAAGGATTTTAGCAATTATTTTGTATACACTGCCCAAGAAACTTATGGGTCTGAAGTTCTTTAAGTTCACATGCACCACCTTTTTTTTTGGATTTGAGAGTTATGAATGTTGAGTTGAGACATCTCTGTAGGGCAACCCTTGAGTGAAAGTCTTCTATCACTTTCTTCATATTTTGCCTAAGTGCCACTCATCCTCAAGGCTGCATTTGTTTGTGGTGTAAAACCAAATCTACACCGAGGATTATAACGCCAATGGGTTTATGAGAGTGTAAAATGGGAACCGGAATGTTGGGCCCATTAACACTCTTCGCATTTGGTAGATCGACGTAAACAATAAACTGGAGGTAGTTGCTTGAATCTGTCACAAGGAGAGAGAGAGAGAGAGAGAGGATGTTGCATTGGGATTTTGCCATGTGTCCAGCGAGATCCTTTAGGGACAGAGTTTCCCTTCTCCTAAGGATTCTCGCATGGCATATTTAGGCTACGTACCCTTGTAGGTTTCCCTGTGGACACGTATCAAGGGCAAGACATGGATCTGATTGGTGTGCTCAAGTGTTCTACTCAATCGCCTCTGAGGTGCCTTGTCACAACTGGTTGTGAACAGAAGGAATGCCAATCTCCCTTAGGCGGGTGTCGCCGGCCTTGGGGTCTGTCCTCCGTTCGTTACAACAGGAGTTGCCATTTCATGCTCATCGCAAGGTGTTGATAGTGCATTGGGCTCTTGCAATATCATTTTATGTTCATCGCAAGTCTCAGGTGACGCTGATTGCTTATCGTAGGTCTGGGGAGGTGTTTTATGTTCATCACAAGTCTTGGATGGCACTTCATGCTCATTGCAAGTGTAGGATGGCTTTTTGTGCTCATCTCAAGTGTGTGGGCCTTACATTACTTTGATAAAGTGTCATTGTGCCATTTCAGAGGTGTCCCGGTTGGGATGTCTTCGCTTTTCTTTTAACATCTCCATCGTAGTTCCGGTGATAGTGAACTACATGTACTTACAATTAGAAATGGTTAAACCGAATAGTCGGTTAGGTCTTTAGTTTGAACTGAATCGACCGATTGTACACCCTTACCAGTATTTATACTACGAACAAACACAGCCTAAAGAATTCCATTGTGAATCCATCTTGTCACCTCCATTACTCCATACTTGAAATTGCTCCCCACACTTCTTCCCTAGAAAAGGACTTGTCCAAATCTTATGCATCTTCATCTGACAATCTGTTCAATTGTAACCCATCCACCCTTGGCCTTCTTTTCCATCACTCATTTGTGTAAGTTCTCGAACTACTGTATTACTGCTGTTTTGATTCTATTTGTATCTTTGGTCATTTCACCATTTGTCCTCAATAATCTGATTTAATTAGTTCTTCTAGCATTTTCCATTTTTTGAAAATAGGTAGTGGGTTTACTAGTTCTCATACATTGTTTTCTTTAATGAGTTTATATGTATTGCATATAAAGAACCAAAGGGAGTCTTTTGCTCCAAAAGTACTGGATTTTACATGTTTAATGAGTGAGAAGAACCATAAACAACATCAAAGAAGAATAAGAAATTCTTGATAAAAAAACAGAAGATGCCCAAGCATAGCCCACTCCCAGAGTTCTAGTGTGGGCATATCAACCAGCACCCCCTCAGGCACAATGTGCACCCCCTGGTAAATCTCTATACTAGGAGGCCATGTCAGCCAACCTCTCTAGAAGCACACTCTATTGCATGATCTTGTAATGATGGCTATATATAGCACTATTATCAAGGAAGGAAGCATGAGAATCAAGTCATTTGTCTCTTCTATTCCCCTTTTCCCCTCTTTTCCATTTTAGGAGGTCGGATCTCCCTCGAAGGGATCCTTGAAGTGAGAAGTAACTCACCAAGTAGTATCATAGTGTTGCTTAGATGATCCACAGTCGACCATGCCAACCACTAGATCATCCGTTGCGGAGGAGTAGATGGACAAGCTCAAAGCAGACGTGCACAAGGTGTTGGGAGACCTAAAAGACATCAAAGAGGTGCTCTTGATGATGACAACTCACCTGGAAAAGGCAGCCTTGATTAGTGATTTAAAAGGCGTGCCTAGGCTCACTAGCGAGGTGCATTTTGGGGTATGCAATATGTTTTACATCACATTAGCTACTTGAAGCAATGCAATTAAGGAGAAAAAGAGATTGTGGGTTTTACATGCTTGAAAATGCTTTATATGTTAGCTTTTATTTTTATATTTTCATTTGAATACGCTTTACATGTTATGTTTATGTATTTTAATTTTAGATAATAGGTTTTTTAAAATTTAAGTTTATATTTTTTATTAGCATTATGTTTAATAATTTTTTATTTTTTTGCATTTTTAAAATTTTTTTGGCATTTTTTTTGAATTTTTTGACTTTGTTCTTTTTTTTTTAGCTTTTTTTTTGTAATTTTGCGCACGCCTTGCCTTGTGCCTTGCGCTTTTAAAACACTGGCCTTGATCAACTAGGAGGATGGAGAAGCAGAAATCTCCACCCAAGCAGTGCTTGCAAATCCTAGTTTGGTCTCGACAAATCTCCTAAGGTGATCTTTCCTTCGTTTTCAGGTGATGATCCTATCTCTTGGTGCTTTAGAGCCAAATGATATTTTGAGAGTCATGAAGTTCCAAGACACTAGCGAGTAGCACTAGCCTCTATCTATCTAGAGGGAGAAGCCATGTTATGGTTCCAATGGTACTGGCATTCCCACCCCCATATTGGCTGGACAGATTTTACTAAGGCCATTTGCTCTCGTTTTGGACCTTCGAATTATGAAGACTTGGATGAAAGTCTGGCCAAGCTTAAACAGATTATTATGGTGAAGGAGTATCAAAACGAATTCAAAAAATTGACCTCCCGTGTCTACGGTTGGCCAAGGAAGGCTTTGTGGGGAGCTTCGTTGGAGGCTTATGGGTGGATATTAAAATAGAGGTGAAGGCCCTTCAACTGGTCACTGATTTATCAGCGGCTAGTTCCCCCCGACTCCATGAAGAGAGACTGAACCGGCTTCGTTGATTCAGCTGACCACCTGGCCCACTATTAAAGACCCCTAACCAGCCCGAGCCCCCGACCAAACTCCCAGGGACCGAGCCACTCCCAGTGAAGAAGTTGTCCTGGATAAGATGCAGGCACAATGGGAACACGACCTTTGCTATAATTGTTATGACAAATTCGGTCCCGGTTATTGTTGTAAGAACCCCTAGTTTGACTTATTACAATTCGACGAACCCAAGGACGAAGATGACCCTCCTGACCCAGGGACTTGACATTTCGGACAACCCAGTGAATGACTCCCCTGAAATCTCCCTACAAGCCCTCACGGGATCTAGCTCCCCCCAAACCATGAGGATCAAAGGGTTTGTACGGGGACGACCCATCTCCATTTTGGTAGACAGTGGAAGCTCGCTAAATTTCATAACTGGAGTACTCGCAAGACAATTGGGCCTTCCCATAGAACCCCTAGAGGCCTTCTTGATCAATGTGGCTAAAGGACATCGCCTGACGTGTACCACCATCTACTGAGGGGTTGAGCTTCGGATTCAAGGGTCGAATCTAATTGTCAACCTGCACCCATTGAGTTTCCGAGGGGCGGACATGGTACTCGAAATGCAATGGCTGAGACAGTTAGGCCTAGTTCTGCATGATTGGGCCAAGTTGACCTTGGAGTTCACATTGGGAGACCAAACCCACAAGTTTAGGGGCCAACGACCTGGGCTCCCGAAGCATCTTGAGCCCAAGTTGTTAAAACAATGCCATCATGATAATGGGCCGGTGCAATTGTATATTAGCCCGGAATTGTCTGACCCAAATCTATCCTCAGAACCCTTTACTGACCACACTCCAAAAGGGTTGTAGCTACAAGAACTCTTTAACCAGTCCCCTGTTGTGTTTGAAGAACCAAATAATCTTCCCCCATCATGAGCACATGACCACCATATCCCCATCCTACCAGGCTCCACACCCACCAACATAAAACCATATTGGTATCCCCATTTCTAGAAGTCGGAGATAGAAAGAATGGTTACTAAGATGAGAGCCAATGGCCTAATACAACCCAGTTCTAGCCCATTCTTAGCACCCGCCCTTGTAAAAAAAAGGATGGTTTGTGGTGTTTGTGTGGACTACCGAGCTTTGAACAAAAATCACAATCAAGGACCGTTTTTCAATACCGGTCATAGATGAACTCAAGCAGGCTACTGTCTTCTCTAAATTGGATCTCAGGGTAGAGTATCACCAGATATAGGTCCATGAACTATTAGATGAATGAAATATTCTGGCCTCATCTTCGTCGATTCATCCTAGTATTCTTCGATGATATATTGGTTTATAGTGACAGCCGGGCCTCACATTTACAACACCTCCAAACCACCCTAAGTCTAATACGAGTACACAGGTTGTATGTTAAGGAGAGCAAATGCACCTTTGGCAGGACCCAAGTACACTACTTGGGCCACATTGTTTCGGTCGGTCAAGTCATGGCAGACCCAAACAAAATTCAAGCCAGACCCACAACATTATGGGCTCATTGCCAACGCACTAAGCCAGTTGCTTCGCAAAGATTCTATCTCATGGGGCCCTCAGTCCCAGGAGGCATTTGAAAAACTCAAAAAAGCGGTATCCTCGCCTCCCACACTCAGTTTTCCCTGTTTTTTCACAAGAATTTATCATTGAATGTGATGCTTCGAAGTGGGGTATAGATGCATTCCTTATGCAACAAGGGCGGCCCATTGCCTTTTTCAATAAGGTCCTTTCTTCATAGGCCTTACTTAAGTCCACATATGATCATGAATTGATGGCAGTATCTCTTTCAGTACAGAAGTGGTGATCCTACCTCTTGGGTCGTCCATTTTTCATCAAGATGGACCACCAGAGTCTTAAGCACCTACTAGAGCACCAGGCCCATAGCTCGGACCAACAAAAATGGCTCTACAAACTATTGGGGTTCAATTACAGGGCGGAATACAAACCCGACCCATCTAATCGGGCAACAGATGCTCTCTCTTGGCGACACGAATTGAATCTCTTAGGGGAATCTAGGCCCATTCACCCCCTGACCCAAAGGCTGAGGGAGGTTGCCCACGCAGATGAAGCCTTGTCCCAACTCCGCTCTACACTTCTAAAGGATCCCACAACAGCCCCAAGCTACTCCCTCACCGCCCCCGACATATTATATAAGAGTCGACTAGTGCTTCCACAAAGCTTACCTATTCTCATAGAGGTGTTACAACTCTATCATGGGTTTGCCTTGGGTGGCCATTCTGGAATTTTGCGTACTTATAGATGGATCAATCGACATTTTTCTTGGCCTGGAATGTATAAACAAGTATAAAAGTTCGTGGGTAAATGCTAAGTGTGCCAACAGTACAAAGCCAGACTTAGGCACCCGCGGGCCTCCTACAACCTCTCCCAGTTCCCAATCAAGTATGGGAAGACATCACGATGAACTTCATCACCAATCTTCCCCCTTCGGCTGGTAAGACTGTTATCATGGTTATTGGTGATAGGCTCACGAAGTATGCCCATTTTGCAGCCCTTTCCCACCCATATACAGAAACACAGGTCACCTATGTTTTTGTACAAGAAGTAACTCGCCTACATGGGACCCCTTAGTCCATTATCACAGATAGAGATCCAACATTTATGAGCCGTTTCTAGATAGAGTGTTTTAAGGCCCAAGGTACCATGCTCGGCCACTCGACTAGCTACCATCCTCAAACAGATGGACAATCCGAAGTAGTGTACAAATGTTTGGAGTCTTACCTTCGTTGCTTCACCAGGGAAAGACCCGAACAATGGACTCGCTGGCTACCTTGGGCCGAGCTGTGGTACAACTCCACTTACCACATATCCACTGGCACTACACCATTCAGGGCATTGTACGAGCGTGACCCACCAACACTACTTCCTTTTGAACAAGGATCGACTACAATAGCAGAAGTCGAAGAGAAACTAAATAACAGGGATGAGATACTCAAGTCACTCAAGGAACACTTGCATCGGGCCCAACAACAAATGAAGGTCCATTATGATAGGAAACACAGAGAAGTTGCATACCAATCTGGTGACTTGGTTTATGTCAAGCTTTAGCTCTACAGACAGCTCTCGGTGGCCCATTGCAACTGGCCCAAGTTTGCCCTAGATTCTTTGGGCCTTTCCCAATCATTGGAAGGGCGGGACCCGTGGCATATTGCCTGGATCTACTTCCCTTAGCCAATCTACACCCTGTCTTCCATGTATCTCTTTTGAAGCGGCACATCGGGGCTGCAACTCATGTCTCACCAACCCTACCTGAATTCTCTACTGACGGGGCACTCCAACTAGAACCATCATGGGTCTTAGACTACTGTTGGATCAAAAAAGGGAAAAAGGTGATTAGGGAGGTTCCCATGGCCTAGAGACACCTGCTGCCAAGAGGACGCAACATGGGAGGTCCACTCAGATTTTATGGAGCGTTACCCAACTTTCAACCTTGAGGACAAGGTGGTTGTCAACGAAGGGCGAGTTGATAAGTTCCAAGCCCATGATGCAGCCGAAAGAAGAGGCCTAATAAGCACAACCCACTTATGAAAAATGGAAGGAGATTCCATACGTTGATCTCTTGCTGTAACCCCAAACTGGTAACAAGAAAAGTGAAATTGGTAAATTTTTTTGTCAGAGGAAAACCAGATGTCACTTAAGGAGAAGTTCAAAGTAACACCATATCTTATAATAGAAAAGGCAACATAGTCGTAGATGGGATACTGATTCTTCCTTCACAGTCTCACACTGCAAAGTCAACACCCATTTTCCAAGGTTGTTTCCTCCAAATATTAAATTGTTTTTTGTCAATATCTTGCATAGAACTGCTCTCCAAGAGAAGGATGCTTTGTATAGGAAATTTTCTTCTTATACTCTGTCCCTCACTCCCTCTGAGCAACCATGTAAAAAGGTTTAAGTGAGAAGACACCTTGTCAATTTCCCTTCCAAATTCTTGTGTCCTTTCTTCATAATAAAATAATGTTTTACAAAACCAAGAGAAAAATACAAAGATAACAGGGCTTCTAGGGCACCAACACAATGGCCTCCCTTGGATGGTGAGGGAATATCCAATCAACCACAATCCAAACAAAGCAGAGACAATTTATACAAGCATCTCTTTGAGACCAAAACCAACAGTCAAACGAAAACCATTGGCTCTCCCAACATTCAGCCACCCAGAAGCCTCCAAAGCAATATGTTAGCCACTATTTCACCATCAATCTAGGCTGCCTGCTTTATACCCCTACTGCCTCTCCCACTTATCCACATTGATGTAGGACAGGGTAGGGGTCCTACTAATTCTAGATCTGGTTGTGGGCTTTATGGGGTGAAGGAGGGAGGGGCTATGGGTGATCACAGAAGAAGAATAGAGGTAAGAAGGCAAGTAAACAGTTTGTTGTTTACAAAGGGATGAGTAAGAATTTAGAAAGAGAGAGAAACTCTTGCTGTTAAATGGTAAAAAGACAAATCAAATAGAAGAAATAAGTGAGGGGGGAGGGGAGAAAGATTCCTGACAACAACCAGAATTCACTAAACCAAACTTTATTTCTTCAAACCAACTCTTCTATAGTCGCAGTTAGGCCTGTCAATGGGTCGGTTCTGCCCAACTGTGCGAACCAAACCGAACAGATTATGCCAGTTCTGGTTCCATGATTTTGTCCCGATTAATAATTGGGTCGGTTCCGGTTCTTTCTTGTCCCAAACTGATTATTTTATTATATATAATGTTTTCCTAATTTTATTATAATTTTTATTATATTTCATGTCTAACATGGTAAATTTGATAGATAACAAACAATTTAATATTTTACTATTATTTTTATCGAGATTATATTATCGAAATTTATGTTTTAAGTTATCATTTAAATAAATAAATATAGTTTTCAGAATAGTTGGGTCCATCAGGTAAGACCCCATAGGACCCAACTATTAATCAGGATGGTTCTGGGTCCATTCTTTTGTCCCAATTAATAATCAGTTCAGGACTGATTCTACCTAGAACCAACCCAGACCCAATCTGTTGACAGCCTTAGTTGCAGTTTCAATGACTATTTTATAGACAACTTATAAACTTGGATGTCTTTTTTACAGGCTCCAATTTGGACTAGGAAACTTACCCAAATCAAATTCGAATTGCGTTATAACTAAAATAAATTCATAGGTAACCTATAGGGACCTCCTAAAGAACTCTAATAACACTTTCCTAATCCTACTAAAACTAACTTAAATTCAAAGACACCAGAAGTTGCTAAAAATCGTAATTATAAGGATTACTATAAATAATAAGTCCAAAAGTTACACATAAACAGTAATTTTGAAATAGAAATTGAATTCTGAAATACAAAATTTTATTATAAAGTCATCTGCAACTAGAAAATAAATGAATAATTGAAACAATACCAATCTCCTATCCCCCAAAAATCTGAAATTGGTGTAGGACTTGGAAATTTTGATTAGGGCTGATAAGAGATAAGGGAATGTAGTAGTGCTTTACTCAGGACTGGTGGGTAGTGGGGACTCTTTAAGGGCTGAGCTGTGTGCAGTACAAGGTGTTCAGATTGCAAAAGAGACGAGCCTTGGAGAATTTGGTGGTTGAAGGGGAGTTTAAGGTGGTAGTGGTTTGGCTGATAGATCCAGATTCAGTGGTATGGTGTTATAGGGACGAAATGAAGAAGTTCAAATGATTAACAAGAAATATGAATCTGGTTATACAAAGGGTGGGGAGGGAGGCCAATGCATTTGCTGATTCTTTAGCTAAGCAGGGGGTAATTGGGGATCAGTTGTAATTAGGGAGGCCATCTCTAGTTACTTCTATTACAGTTTTATAATAAGATATTATCACTTCAACAATAGGTGGTAACCCATCTGGTTGTCTTTCTTCCTTTTCAACTTTTTCTTGAATTGCAGCTATAGGAGTAGGGGCATTAAGTGCAGTTTCATGCAGAAACTGTTGCTGCGTAGCAGGCACAATAGAGGGAAATTTCGGATTAAAGATCTGAGAATTTGATGCCAAAGTAGACTGGGATACTCCATTAGATGTGGCATCTGAAGAACATTCACCAATAACATTACCCTTTTCTATAAGAAAGGCTTCCAATTTGACGTTTAAAATGTCAAGTTTGTGAGAAAGCTAGCTAAACCATTTAAATTTGTAATTTGATTGATTATTTATTAAAGTCTTAAACTTTTGTTTGCAACTGCCACAAACAAAATTTTAACTGATATGACATTATTTAATTGTGGTAAATGCTGAGTGGATGTTTTACTTTGGTTTTTATTAATCATAATTGGCTACCTGTGTGGGCTATATATTATCATCACTTATAGCTGACAGCTAGGGCAGATCTGCAAAATGGGGAGTTTCATGTCTCATGGTCATAGTATCTGTATGATGTATCTCCTATAATGATGTGCATTATTAATATTATTATGTGTTTATTGTTTGCTGTGTCTTTGTGTTTCAAGATATCTCTAAGGTATGTGACATGTATTGAAAAAGGTCTGTCAATTGTTTCTTTATTCTGATCTTTGCATTGTTATGTTCTGATTATGCAGATACAACACATTTTGTGGTTATCCTCCTGAGATAGTGAAGAAAATGCCTAAAAAGGATCTTGCCGAAGAGGTAAATTTCTTCCCTTTTGTGTATTTCCATTCATTTTGCAGTTATAGCTCGAATATTTATTTAGCTTGCTGACTTTTGTGTTCCTTTAATTAATTTCACTCTTATATCAGGTCTGGAGACTGCAGGTCGCTCTTGGCGAGCAAACAGAAATCACAAAATATAGTCGGCAGGAGTATGAAAGACTTCAAAATGTAATATAACTTGCCTCACATTTTTATTTTCCACGATGCGAATTCATTTATTTAATATCTTTCATCTTGTAACTTGTTAGCAATCTGCTACAACTGCAACATTAGTTGCAAGTTCCAACGTGAAGATATTGTTTTGATCATCATGAATTAGTATGCCATTCTATTATTCAATTCTGACATGTAAAGCCCATGTAACAAAGGAGCACCAACATGTTTCTCAATTCTCTGAAAGAGAAAGGATGTTAAGCTCATCAATTCCATGAACTCCCTAAAGATGCCTATAAATCTGTTTGGGATTGTTTGACTTTCTTTGATCAAATCTATAATCTTATTTGCATCTTAATTCCAACTTTTGGTGCCAAAGATCGAATTAGAACTTTGAATACAGTCTAGCTGTTAATTGCAATTTCTAGAGGTAATTTAGTTGGTTTTAGAACTTCACAGAAGTTGCTATGAAGGAATAGCTGAGACCAAATGTCTACTAGTATACCTCTGAACAACATGGTATGTGCCCAATATGACACTTGATACTGCATGAGTATTTCCAGAGTATGCAGCATGGCATAAAGACTTCTAAAATCATTAAGTGATACATCTGAACAAATCATTCTATAAAAGGAATAAAATAAACAAGATATACATATTGAAAAAGGAAAAATCTATGCTGTTGAGTTTTGGGCCACTCTTCAAAGTTGAAAGATGAGTTCAGTTCGAATTCTATCACTAGCAATTATATACTCTTGGCCACTCTTTTAACTTGAAAGATGAGTTCAGTTCAAATTCTTCTATCACTAGCAGCTACATACTCTTGGCCACTCTTCCAACTTGATGTGAAGAATACCTTTCTCAATGGGGACTTGCAGGAGGAGGTGTATATGGACCTTCCAGTTGGCTTCTACAATAATGTGGAAAAAGGAAAGGTATGCAGGTTGAAGAAGTCCCTATATGGTTTAAAACAATTACCCCAAACTTGGTTTGATAGCTTTGGAAGTACATTGTTTGTATTTGGCTATACTCAAACTCGATCTGATCATACTCTTTTTGTGAAGAGGAGGGGTTCACTGGTGTTAGTTTTGATGGTGTATGTTGATGACATTGTAGTTACAGGAAATGATTTGAGTGAGATTGAGATGCCCTGAAGAAGAATCTACACAAAAAGTTTGAGATTAAGGATGTTGGGGAGCTGAAGTACTTTTTGGGCATTGAAGTGGCAAGGTCCAAGCATGAGATCTTCATTTAATAGAGGAATTATGTTCTAGATCTACTACAGGAAATAGGAAAGCTTTGGGCAAAGGCAGCTGATACACCTATTGATCAGAACCACATGATAAATGCTTTAGAGGTTAGTAGGGCGGTTGCTATACTTATGTATGACACGACCAGACATCTCATATGCAGTGAGTGGTGAGTCAATACATGCATACCCAACAAGTAAAGCATTGGGAGGCTATTGATAGGATACTTTCCTATTTGAAGAGACACCCATGACCATGGACAATTGAAGTTAGAAGCTTACACAGATGCTGATTGGGCAGGGTGCCTAGATGACAGGAGATCTACATTAGGAGTTTGTACTCGTGTTGGAGGTAATTTAGTTTCATGGAAGAATAAAAAACAGACAGTTGTGGCAAGGTCAAGTGCAGAAGCTGAATATAGAGCCATGGCACATGGTGTTTCAGAGCTCCTCTAGATTTGTTCCTTGTTAGGGGGTATTGGAATTGAGACTGAAGAACATATGATGCTATATTGTGACAATCAGGCAGCAATTAACATTGCCCACAGCCCAGTTCAGTATGATAGGACGAAGCATATAGAAGTGGATAGACACTATAAGGGAAAGGGTGACATCCGGAGAAGTTTGCTTGCCATATGTTGCATTTGACTTGTAACTTGCTGATGTTTTTACAAAAGGAGTTGCAAGAAACAAGCTGGAACATGATCTATGCAAGTTGGGAATGTGTGACATTCATTCCCAACTTGAGGGGGAGTGTTGAGTTTTGGGCTGATATAACATGTTTTTTATTTACATAGCATAGTTAGGGAGTTATTGGGCCTTAGGCCCATTAGTTTATGTTTTAAGTTAAGAGTGTTTTTTAAGGCATGCTTGTCTTTGTACTCTCTTTTATTTATCAGTATATAATCTAATGAAAGGGGCGGATAGACCTAATTCTGAGCTTCTCCCGTTCTCTTCTATCTCTCATCCCTCTTTCTTAGCTGAAACCTTTTCTCCTCTTTCCTTTCTTATTTCCTTTACAGTTTTTATATCAAAACAGGTTGTCCAAACCTTTCTACTGTTACTACTCTTTTCAGTATCATAGTCAAACCCATTGAAAAATGATATTTATCTTAAAAATAAGACAAAAGCACTGTATGAACCTCTGAACTTCTCGACTGGTACAGCATGGAGAACCTGGGCCCTTCCGGCATCGTATGGGTCTTTAGAAGTACTGGTAGTAACATTTTAGCTTTGTTCTCAGAACCCATTGATGCGGAGAACTCACCCAGAGCAGAATTGTTGGCAACATTACAAGGGCTGAGAATGGTGAAATCCCTGAACTATAGAGGGATAATTGTGGCAGGGGGCTTAAAAGCGGTGGTGTGGTAGCAGAGACAGAACAAAATAGATTTTTGGACTCTCAGACAGGTTCTGAGGGAGAGCATAGATGCTTGGCTGGGTAGCTGAACAATATTTTCAATTGAACTCCAAAGTTGTCTAACAGTATGGAAAATGGGTTAGCAAAAGAGGGGTGAATATGTTGTGTTATGGTTCCCTACGGGGAATTATAAGAACAAGGGGGTGGCTAGTGTAACTAAGCCAAGTTGCCAACAAATCTCTGTATATAATATTCTTTCATACATTTCTAATGATCTTTTTCCTTACAATTGGTGATAATAAAATACTTTAGGCACATGCTAAATGGGACATGTTACATGTACCTGTATATGTTGGATTTCAGGAAATGTTAACTTTAATAAAAGGCAAAAGAATAGTTCAGTATGTGCTTACTGCACATCTGCATCAGCAAATGTTGTCCCCATTTCTGATAGTGTCCATGTTGGTATGCATTTCTAGGCTCTCTGAGATCAAGACTCAAGACTAATTACTAAGATTCTAAATTTCTAATTTAGCTTTCAGGGCTTCCCTAAAATAAGTGACTAGGTTTTGAAAGCACTGTAAGTGGTCTTTTTTAATCAATTTCTTACAACTTGCCTTACAGATTTCAAATGCTTAGAGAACTTTCTGAGATTGCTTAGATTAGGATCCCCAAACAGTTCGTTCTTCCTAGGTTTTCATATAGAAATCTCCACTTGAGTTGATCTAAGTAAACCAACATCTTCCAGTAATATAGCCTATGTTACCTAGTCATGGCAAGGACATGATTGGACAGAGTGTTGGATATGAATTTATGCCACAAACTGAACTATTTAACCTGATTTGCACCCTTGCAAGTATCTGAGCATCATAGGGTATAGCAGCGATTGATTACTTTGTTGACATGGTGACTTTGGAAGGCTGAAATGCAAAAGCTTCTATAAACAGTAGATGATGTAGTAAAAATTAACAGATGCATGATAAATTTTCTGAATGAAGAAGTATAGTGTGATTCAAACATGAATAGTTCATATCATATCATCATATGATGTCTGTTATGACTAATTTTCAGAAATGATAATCAATTTCATGGAAGCCAATAACAGAAATAAAAAAGACGTTAACTATTTAACTCTTCAATTTCATGGCAAAAAGATAATCAGCCTGCATTTATGCACCGAGCTGCCTTGTTGTTCCCATCATTTCCTTGAAAATTTTGATCTTGTTTTTAAATTTGATGGTTGTATATTTATTCCTCCCTATTTGCCAGTAAAAGGAAGAAGTATGTTTACAATGGGTGTTGTGATTGTTAAGCTTTATGAATTGGAGTATAACCAATCTGCTGCATGGATATTTTTATACTTGTATAGATTATTGAATACAAGTTTGATGACACCAATTTCAAATGTGGAATTTTTTAATGACCTTAGAAGGGTTGCCGTTTGTCATGATATCAATACTAGGGCAAGCATGTTCATCAATCAATTGATCTATGGGATCAACCACAGATTAGGATCCCGATAGATATGAATATGCAAAACAGCAATTTCGTATCTTTTTAATTTTGAAACTAGGTTTTGACCTCACCCGAATTGTCATCAAGTTTTAACCAAGAAGCTGAGTTGAAATTAATATTTTATTATATGTAATCTTTGTTTTGGTAACCATTCTGAACCTCAGACTTCTGAATATTTCATCCGGACTTGATGAATCCTTGAGAAACTGTAATAGTGCTCATCATTTCTTGAAATCCACAAATGTATGCAACAGTGTTCTCCCAATGTTTTAATAGCATGTTATGCTATATATACTGTTCTGTCTGTAAGATCTCTAAGAATGTTCAAACATACTTTGGCAATATGACCATACGGATTTGATTGTGCACGGAACAGAGTTACAGTAAACAGAGTTTATGCAACTTTTGGAAACTTGCCTTACTGACATGATGGGACCCACGAAAAGGGGCACCACAATACAAAGTTGGAATGTCTTATCATGCGTTAATAGGGTGAGGAAACCCAAGATTTTCATAATAGGGAGGGCCCATTACTTGGTGTAATGGTAAAATCTTAGGCTGTGAAGTATGAAAATGCTGGTTCGAGCCTGAGAGTAGCCTCTTTTTTTTTTTTTTGATAGATACCTGAGAGTAGCCTCTTTGTGCAACAAAATGCCAAAGGTTGGTCCATATCCAGTCTACCCCTCCCAGACCCCAAATAGCTGGTACCAATGTTTAGTAAATGGCCTTATATCTATCTATCTATCTATCGCTCCTTTTGTTGGCGTCATTCATTCGAGGATGGAGTTATAACTTAAAATCCAATTCCATGTGTTCATTATGCTATTTGGATTTTGGGATATTTCTGTTTTTAAGTGTGTGAGTGGTTGGGAGATTGGGATTGCCTTTAAGAATTCTATTCTTATCCTTTTTTAATTCCTCGTCCTGATGTCTGCTACATGCTTACATGATGTATTTCAATACATTGTTCAGGAAAAGGTCTTATGTAGGGTTTGCTTTGAGCGAGAGATAAGCACAGTCTTGCTTCCATGCAGGCATCGCATCCTTTGCAGGTTTAGACTCTGCATCTATGATTATGACTAGTCTAGTATGTTTTATTTATTTTGTTATTTTAATTCTTTTGTTGTGTGCTACAGTACTTGCTGTGAAAAGTGTAAAAAATGCCCCATTTGCCGGGTCGTGATCGAGGAGCGCTTGCCTGTCTATGATGTATAGAGTTATAACTGTACTTGTTCCCTTCCCTCACTAAGGCTGGGGCTAGGGGCCTGACATATATAGTTTACATAAAATTTGCATTTACAGAGTCCTGACGCTGACAGAGGCCTCTACTACTTTAACCTGTTTATTGTTAAATTAACAGAAGCAAGCATTAGGAGAGATGGAGAATGTGGTTGTTCTGATCATGTTGTAAAGCTGTTTTGTTCTCTGATTGTATATATACACTACTACACAATATTATGGGAAAAGGAAAAAAAATGCCATTAATGGTGTAAGGAAGTGTTGTGTAATTTTCTTCCAGCATGTATTTATTACAGAAATTGAAGAAAAACTATCCAACTGCAACCTTGTCACTGTCATTGGATTTGCTTAATGAGGATGGTTCTTTAAAACGATCATATATCATCTTGCTTAGACAGTTACAAAATGAATATATATGTGTGTGTGTAAGAAATACCCGTCTGCATGACATGAGATTGCCGGAGACCAGTTTTTGTTTTGTTTTTCGATATCTGGATACAAGAGGTTGTGTTACCTTGTGTGGAGTTCAGTGCAAGACTGATTGGGTGCTGAAGCAATTTGAGGGAGAAGAGTTTGGTTTAGCAGTGCTGAACACTTGTTGAGGGCAAGCTATTTGGAGTTCTACAATTGGTTGCCTTGCGTTGATGGTATCCAAATAAGAGTAGAAAGGAATCTGTGGAATACAGAATATGATGCTGCATGGATGGAATGGATGGGAATTAGATGATAACTAACGCATTAAAAGACCAGCATGCTTGTTTTTCGTGAACTTGTCCTGGTGTTAGCAATGTTTTCGAACCGCTGTTGATTTGGACGATCAGACCATTTGGACTAATCGGTTCTGTTTTACTCCAAATCTGTTTTTCCACCAAAAACTGTTGAATTAGTTAATAATCTGTTGACTTAGACAGTTGACCTGTTTGACCCATTCAATGGTTTTTTATCTTTATTTTTTAATTATCTTTATTTTTTTATTTTTGTCAGAACAGGCCGCGTTCGAACTGAGTGGTCGAATTGTCAATCTAAAAACTGGTGACCAGAATGGTTTTGATTCCAGGTCGGTTTTAGAACATTGGGTGTTGGTGTTACTACAGAATTAGAAAATCGGAATCAAGTCTGGCTGTGAACAGACATGCTTATTTTGGGGCTTTCTTGTAGATGGAGTTGGAATGTTTTTTTTTTATTTGCTTTTGAGTCTAGATCTCCTGTTGGACACAGCACATTTCATCATGGTTTTTAAAACCGAACCGGTTAGGGGGTCTGGTTATCAGTTCGAGCGGTCCGAATGTTCGATCTGAACGGCTGGCCCATTCTGACAAAAAAATTAAAAAAATTGAAATACGGCCAAAATCGCTTGAATGGTTAATCAGCCGGTTCAGTGATTTACTGAAATCAACGGTTTTAGGGAAAAATGAAACTGGTCAGTTCACCGGTTCCCGGTTTTTCTGGTCCAACCGTCTGATTTTGAAAACCATGCATTTCATACAGGGGGAGATCCCAATTTTTTTTTTTTTTTTTTTGTGGTGTCAGATAATGAGGGGGTTTTGGAACGTGTTTTGTAGTCTGATCCTAACTTTTTTTTAGGGTAAAATATAAAGTTTCGTAACAAAAGCCTCACCTCTGATTTTGAAAAAATAAAATGTACACACATTACGGGTTGTCGGAAACAGGTGACAGAAGCTGAAAAGAAGAGAGATTTCGGGCATTTTTCATACGAATTTGCATCTGCACCTCACAGAGAGTGCTCCACAGTACATCCTAACCGTGTATTGGGAACAGTTTCTATTGACTACGGGAGATATTCCTAATACACGTTGAGATGTGCACGTGGGGTGCCAGTGTGAACTCCTTTCATACATAATGTGATTCCATCTTCTTTCCTAGTGATGTCCGTGTGGAGATCGGATCTGCTCACACAATGCGCCTCAGTCCGACCTCACAGCACGTTTCAGCTGTGCTTGTGCATCTGAAACATCTCCCATGAATTAAAAATTTACAAGTACGAGATGTTTCAGATGCAAGGTTGAAACATGCTCTGAGGTTGGGTTTGAGGGGCGGTCTATGAGGAGCAGATCCGAAGTCGTCTAGTTTGGTTGAAGTTTACGTGATGTGAAAAAGAAATGGAGTAGTGAGGACTGAGGAGAAGCCGGTAGTAGCAAATCATCGTTCATGGAGGGCCAGAAAAGATACATCCAAGCAATACTCCATCATCGGAATCTGACAGAAAACCAGGTGAGGTGAGACATGGGAACTAATAGGGAATGTATGGTTTTCCAGCGAAATATTTGATATTTTTTTTGTTCATGTATACAAGGAAGTAGACGTGGTTTCACAGGGGAGCAACTCGACAACAGTAAGACTATAAAAGGGCTCCTCCGTGGGTTTAGCATATTGGGCCACAAAGTGGGCTTAGCTGCAACATTAAATTTTCAGTAAATGTAACAAAAAGAGTAAGGCCCAACTTGAGACACAAAACGTTCAACATACACACACCTACAAGTAATACCTTACTTTTATAAACCCATTGGACAGAAATATGGTTATTATAATAAAAAAGAAAAGAACTTTTTCATTCCTGACAATTGACAAATCAAATATAATAAGATTAACTTTGAAAATTATTTCCTTGAATTAAAAGATAAATGTAATGAATCCAACTGTCCAATTTTATACTTAAGATTACATTAATTGACAAGGGTCTGTTAAATACCTATGCTATAATTTTATACTGAAGATTACATTAATTTATTCATACAAGCAAAAGAAAAAAAAAAATGTCCAAATGGGCTGTTGGTGGGGCGTGGGCCACACTGATGTTAATCCAATTCCTCCGGACCCTTGATGCTCATCTGCAGATCGAAGTTGGGAGGGAATTTTGTTTCCTTGTATCCTTTTCATATAAATATGTATTAGGCTGCATTTGTTTTAAGTGTAAATTTAAATTTACACGGATGGAAAATTGAATCGGAGTATTTTGAAAGTTTTTTCTCATGTTGTTTGGTTGTTTCGGTGTAAAAGTGAAACTCTGAAAGTCTGTTCTGCTCTGAATCTTATCATGGTCCCATCCCTGTTCTGGTCTGAGAGGAAGAAAAAGAGAAGAGCAACTTCAAGTTATGTTCTGGATCGACATTCAACACGAATCTGATCCCATCCCTCCCCTCCGGCATTCGTCGGATTACTTACTTCGATTCTGATCTCATTGTGGTCGACGACGTGGCTAAGCTCTGGGAAATTGATCTGGGCACCCACATTCTGGGAGCACCCGAGTAGTGCCACGCCAACTTCACCAGCTACTTCAACGATAAGTTCTGGTTCGACGCATTTTTCTCCCAAACGTTTCGAGGCTGAGAGCCGTGTTATTTCAATACTGGCGTCATGGTCATTAATATCCGTAGATGGAGGGAAGGGAAATACACAGAGAAACTAGAATCATGGATGAGGATTCAGAAGCGGCAGCGTATATACGAGTTGGGCTCCTTGCCTCCATTTTTGCTGGTCTTTGCCGGAGATGTAAGAGGGGTGGAGCACAGGTGAAACCAGCATGGTCTTGGTGGGGATAATCTGGAAGGTTTGTGCAGGGATCTGCACCCCAGGCCGGTGAGTCTACTACACTGGAGTGGGAAGGGGAAGCCATGGCTGAGACTGGACTCAAGGCGGCTGTGTCCGTTGGATAGCTTGTGGGTGCCCTATGCTGTCCTTGTCGTTGGAGCAGAGCAGAGAGAGCACAGAGAGGAAGAAAGAGACGGAGAGGAGGAAGAAGAAGAAGAGAGAGAGAGAAGGAGAAGAGAGCGAGAGTACTCCTCCGTTTCCTGGGACAAGTGCTTGAAAGTATGGCGGGCATTGGATCTCTGCTGCTTGGAGTTCGTGAAAGCGCACAAAGATGCCATAAACGCCGTTGCTGTTTCTGTCGATGGAACCATTTACACGGCCGGAGCAGACAGACGCAGGGTATGGGGAAGAACGTCAGGAGAGACACGGAGAAGAGCGAGCGAGAGAGAAGGGGAAGAAGAAGAAGAGAGAGAGAGAGCGCGCGCGCGCGAGATGTAATAAATACATCGAAAATTTTGATGTATCGATAATCGATGTAATTTAACAGTAAAATATAATTTTACACCGATTTACATGTTTACCAAATTCTTGTAAAATTGAACCGAGGTGCAAAGTTTACCCCATTCGATTTTATACCTCTACCAAACGCAGCCTTAGGAAAACAAATAGTATTCTAGTAATTCTGAGCTCGGATTTGCTGCTCACAATTGTTCCCACGTCACTATTCATCTGCCATTACAGCTGTGTAGGGAATATTTCACTTGTCAATCATGGAGAGAGATGTTTTCAATACACTCCTGTGGTGGATAGGATGGAAACAGTTTGTGGGTAGCAGATTAGTAATTTAGGAATGCATAATTTCATATCTCTAATCATCTTGGTGGTTTACTTAATTTGAAAATTTAAATTAACAATTTTCTTTTTGATATTTAATACAATACACTAGCTTTTCAGCATAGCTAGAAATAGCGGGATTCGAATCCATGTTTCTGCTGGGACTACTCAGCTAATATGTCAATCGAGTCACCACTCAGTTGATATAATGATGCTTAGTAAGGGCAGTTTTGTAACTTTAACTCTCTATTACCGGAAAGATGATAGAATGGAGGTGCATGATTGCATATTTATAAAACTAAAAGGGAGGTTTTTGTCACAATCAACCTAGGGAGATTATCCTTGAATGGGCAGCTTGAGAAGCCCATAATTTGGCCTTGAATTTTAGAGATTATTTTATCATTATTGAAGGTGATTCTTAACTTGTCATTGCTTATCTCAAACAGAAGATCCATGCTCCTTGGAAGATAAGACTAGGGGTGGATACGAGCCGAGCCAAATCGAATAGTATCAGGCTCGAGCTTGAGTTTGGTTCGAGCCAGAACTTTGAGCTTGGCTTGTTTTAAATTTTATAAAAATATTTTATTATATATTTTTTAAATATTCTATTATAAAAAATATTTAGAAAAAATGTTTTATAAAAATAAAAATTATATATATATATATATATTCGAGCCGGCTCGCGAGCCTCACAAACTAAACTCTACTAGGCTCGAGCTTGGCTCGTTTAATAATCAAGTCACTAAATTGGGCTCAAGCTCAGCTGAAATCGAGCTGAGCTCGAGCAGCTCGTGAAAAGCTCAGCTCATTGCCAACCCTAGATAAGATACATCATCAAGAACTGCATCAAGCTGAATGACGAGTTTTGAAGATGTCTGATGTATAGACATGTCTATCAGGAGGCAAACCAGACGGCTGATTAACTGGCGCACTCAAGGAAGATTTATATGAATGTCAGAACACTCAAGGTAGGCTTTTATATTTTATCCTTCTT